ATAGTTTATATTTTGAGATGCTCTGCAGTGGGAGCTGCAGTTTTGTGAGAGAAAGGCACAGTTTTCTCTCTCTCTCTCCAGTTCTCAAACATCCAGTTTTGTTGGGATCATGACGACTCCGGCGTTGAAGACCCACCGCGCCGAGGCCCACTTCGGCCGGCCTGTGACAGTGGAATTGCTGGGAATTGAGTTTGCGTGCGCAGCTGGTGGCAGCTGGTCACTGCTGGCAACTTTGTCAGTCTTGGCGGGGTCTTGGCAGGGTCTGCCGATGTGGCTGCATTGACCCAGGACGCCACACAAGCACCAGCCTCCAACAACCCAGCAACTCCTCCCCGCCGGGAAGGCATCGACGCGATGGTTCCTACCACAGTTCCAGCCGGCCCTCGGGACGTGCAGCCCCGCGTTCTGTTTCTGTTTCTGCAACCCGCCGTTCCACCGGCTGGACGACTCCGACAAATGAACGCTGGGCATTCCCTCAAAAACACGGCACTAATCCCCTTGACAGCTTGCGCGAAGAGACCCTGCGCGACGAAGACCCTGCGCGACGAGACCCTGCGCGAGTGCGCTGGGAGGAGGATTGCAACACTCCAGAATTTGGACTGGCAAGCACATGTCAGGAGACGCACCCATTCAATTCACGCACGCTGTCGGAAAACGTCATACCGCGGTCAGGCCACTCAACAGTCAGCCCCCAATTGCTTTCTAACTCCTGGCGGGAAGGAAGGGGGGGGGGGCTGAAGGACGCAGAACAAGTCCCGTGAAAAGATGGAGGGTGAGAGGCGAGCTGCACGGAAAAAGAGCATCCTTCGATGGTACACCCCTGGCAGATTGCTGGCAGATGGGTGCTGCAAGCCGCACTCCCGGACGCAGGCGGGTGGCGGTGGAGAAGAGCCGCCGCAAACCTCTCCCTCTCTCTCTCTGTCTGAGTCTCAATATCGCGGCCCCTATCGCTCGGCGGGACACCTTCCTGAGAAAAGTTCGCCTCCGCTCACCGCGGGATGCACGACACGAGAAAGGTTCTCGCCGCTTTGCGCCCGCTTCGCGCCCGCTCTCCAGAAACCCGGAACCAGCGAGGCACGGAACTCTATTTTGCGTCTATTTCTGGATGTCAGTCTGTGAGGGGTACTATCGACAGTCTGGGGTGATGCATCCAGTCCCTCAATTTGCGAGGAGCCTCAAGTCGACGGCCAGCGACAAGTGTCGATCTAGATCGTCGGGGGTCTCGTGAAGGGGTCCTTCGTCAATCACCTCATCCAGACCGGGTTTCGCATCCAGGCCCCGGATAAAGGAACGCATGATGCTCGGTGCCAGGACAGTATCCTGGAACGGGGTTGAGGTCACGTTGCAGAGGGAATGAGGTGATGTCGAGATGGCCACCTCTCGCCAATAAACATCATCTCGCCAGCATCAAGACAGCGACGCGATATTCCAGCCGAGCACACACACGCGCGCGCGCGCGCGTGGCGGGGATCGCCGCCGTCGAGCCTCTGTGACGAAAGCCACGATACCACGGCGGACTGTGTCATAGAGTGTCCAATGCAACTCCAGCTCAGTCGGGCCTCTGGAAACGACTTGCTCGTAGATGATATTCGCCGCCGAAGCACCGCGCGAATGCCATGGCTTCATTTAAAGTTATTCGGCGACAGGGAGATCACTGACGTCGCCGTGCAAATCGCCCTGCCAGTCCAAAAATAGCGAGCCTGCCGAGAAGCTGGGACAAAAAGATCGGTTTATCACGGCTTCCTCGACGCCGATCGGCCCAACTGGTCCGCTTTTCAGTTGGTGCGGTATAGGCACAATTCAAGGATTGTAACCTTATTTCCAGCGGGCCTGTTTATTGTTTGCTCTGGGCGCGCCGTCCAGGGGCTGGCAGGGGCAGCCGGGGACTGGCTCGCGGCCGATCAAGCTCGTCGGAGGGCCCGGGTAAAGTCCTCGGCCTATATCACTCTTTGCCTCTCCCATCAGTGCCTTCATCTATCTGCATATTGCCCTCGAGATTGCCGCCACAGGCCGGCCATGGCCACAGCTAACCACGTCAGCGGGAACAGCACCTGTTCGCACGCGGGGTGCGCTGCCGTCGTTGTCGACAAGTATGGATAGCCCCATGAAAGAGAGGAAGGTAAATTATTTATATATATTCCCCAGGGGCAACCACGACGGGTTTACAAAAAAGCTTGGTCTCCTCCGAGGAAAACGAACGACGATCGAAAAGCATTTCAAGCGCCAGCCGTCCGCGCTCCCATCCCGTCAGTAGATCCTGTCAGGGACCCTCTTTGACCGGTCAATTCGTCAACACACTTCATCACAATGGTCGCCTCCGTGCTCGCCATCTCGCTGCTGGGCCTGAGCGCCGTCAATGCCCTCCCGTCGAACGTCCAGGACCGGCAGGGATGGATCATCGGCGGCCCGTCCAACGGCGCCATCACCCCCGGCACCCCCGGCGGTGGTCTCCCCTCGTGCAACCCTGACCTTCCCCTCGAGAAGCAAGAGCCGTGCCTTTACCAGCCCGTCACCGGCGAGCTGAGGCCGGCCCCGAAGAAGCGCCAGACTCTCATCCCGTCCAACGCCAGCAAGAAGGAGGCCATCAAGACCCTCGAGCTCGAGCTCCAGCGCCTCGAGAAGAAGAAGAGCCCGTCCAAGGCCGAGAAGAGCGCCATCACGACCATCAAGAAGGAGCTCAAGCGCCTCGCCGGCATCAAGGACATCACCCCTCCCCCCGGCGGCTCCTCCACCTTCGTTCCCGGCAAGCGCGACTCCATCTCCCTCGGCTCCTTTGGCGCCTACAAGGGCTTCTGCCCGCCCTCCACCACCGGCCTCCGCCAAGCTCTCTCCATCCTCCTCGCCAAGCCCCGCCGCTCCGAGGAGGAGACCCTCGCCATCATCGACATCGTCCACATCCTCTCGGGCTGCGGCGCCTCCATCTCCGACGAGGGCGCCACCTTCACCCCCATCGTCCCTCGCGACAACTCGGACCTCGTCGGCCTCCAAGCCGCCTACGCCGACGGCATCGCCGCCCTCGGCTCCCACACCCCCTCCTTCACTTCCTTCATCATCCTCACCGGCCTCGAAGACACCCTCACTTCCGCCGGCCTCACCGTCTCGGGCCCCTCGGGCACCGTCTCCCTCGCTCCCCGCCAACAACGCATCGGCACCTGCGACCCCATCGACGTCCTCCTCCTCATGACCCTCTACCGCTCCATCCTCCGCGAGTACGGCACAAACACCTCGAGGTGGCCCTCCTCCGTGACCTCCCAGGCGCGCTCCATCCTCACCGTGCTCTCCCTCTGCGGAGAACCCACCTCCACCATCTCCCCCGTCCCGTACGTCCCCGGCGGGAGCATCACGCCCCAGCCTACCATCCCCGGCGGCACCATCACGCCCCAGCCTACCATCCCCGGCGGGAACCTCGAGCCCGTGCCGATGATTCCCGGCGGTGGGAACTTGGAGCCGGCGCCGACGATCCCCGGTGGGGAGTTCAGGCCCGGAAAGAGGGATTTGGACAGCGCTAAGCAGGCGCTGGCGGTGTTGGAGAAGCAGTATGGGACGTACCAAAGCGGGAAGATCCCGACGGTGGTGTTTTTGCCCATGGCGCAGTTGGTGGCGTATCTTCAGGGGCAGGGGGTTGTTGTGCTGGGGTGGCCTAAGAGCACGATTGGGGTTGCGCCGTAAGTTGTGATGGAAGAAACGGAGGGAGATACCCGGTGGAGGGGGAAGAGAGGAGAGGAGAGAAAAACTCATGATATCCCCACGTCATGTCACGGCTGTGATAGGTAGATGCAGCAGCAAGCAGCAGCAGAGGACGGAAGGGAGAAGAGGAGGCGCTTAATTGCCACCGTTGTGATGATCGTGGCCTCCCTCTCCCCCTTCCCTTGGATGGGATAGGGAAAGGAGGAGACCTACTACCTATTTTTCTACGTCTTTTTTCTTTTCAACTTCTGGCAGACACACATTTTACATGTCTCTGTTACGCAAGACAATGTACTCTTATTTCCTACGAGTGGGCTTGGTTGTAGGTAGTGTTATCAAAAGGCTTGATTGACACCATTTGCTGTATTGTGGTTGTGTGTGTTTTACATCAGGGGGCAATGACACGGTGTGGCGGTGTCACCCCTGACCTTGGCCAACACATGCCTCACTGTCATCACAAGAAACTTGCCTTGTTGCTCCCCATTTTGCCCCTGAAGATTGAGCAAGCAGTCTTGCTTCCCACGATCGACGCGCCCAGATCAGATCGCCAGTTACAGTCGTGATGCCGCCATCGACCCCCTGACTCGAGTCCATCCCTCTTCTCGAACGACAAACGTTCGACGTGCATCAACAGCCGAACGTGCGCAACGCTAGCTATCTCAGGTAGCTCATTTCCAGATGACTTTGACTCTAAAATAAACACCGTGGATTTATCAAGCCACTATCCCCACTAGCACAGGGGCGTGATCGTAGCATCAAGTACATAGACTGCACTACAGCATTACCGGCGTTGAGGGCTACTCTAGTCTCCAAGTAAGGGTCTTCCCGAAAATACTAGAACGCGACGGTCAAAAGACAGACCCTGGATACAGCAAAACCCTCCAACTGTCACGCACGGGCAAGCCGGGGAAAGGAAGGGACTCGAAACAGGGTTACGGCCAACAGCAGCTCATCTCAGCCTGGCGCCACGACGGTCGCTCAGTCGGTCCAGTCTCAGCCTTGTTGCATGCCGAGCCATCTCCGGTGCCAACAAACGCGAAGAAGACCAACATGAATCCAGCCCGGACTCGACACGATCACGCGGTGCATGTGCCATCGGAGTCCCGGGGGGATGCGTCAGGGAGGTCTGGCCACAAGATCGCAGTGTTTACGCCTTCACTTCCCACGGCCAGCTAGCCAATGGGCTGCAAGACGCTCACGTGCAGAACAAATCACCAAAAAAGGGGCAACACAACAACATCAACCCTTCTTCCGTATTCTTAACTGGATGATGATGATGAAATGGCAAAAAAGAAACAACGAGACGGGAATTGAGCCCAACGTGGGGGTCGAACCCACAACCTTGAGATGAACCCTGAGATATGAAAGACATCTTCATAAGAGTCTCACGCTCTACCGATTGAGCTAGCCGGGCAGACGCCTGGTCGCATTGTTGAGTTGGGGCATCGGTAACTCTCTTTGTGTATGGTGGTGTGGAGATCTTCGCGGACTTTTGCACTGTCCCCATGCCCTGTGTGGAGTCCCCTCCCAGGAAAAACTCTCCGCCATGTGAAGGACGTGGCTTCCGGGTGGCAGAAAACACCATCCCAGTAGGCTCCGGAGATAACACGCGGTATGGAGAATCCCGCCGTCAGGGGCTGGACCTCGATAGCCCCTACTGTGTTATCTACCCCAGGTTTGAGCCCACGGGACCTGGCTTGGAGCTATAGCTATCTTTCATACGCAAACTAAACATGCTAGACTACGTTCGTACGCACGATCAAGGGTCGTAGTCCGTCTCATGGAGAGCACGAGCGAAGCAAACGGGGGCCTTGGTGGTCAGTCAGATAAGGGGCAAGCCCAAGTGCCCAAGATCCAGCTCAAGCTCCGCTATCTCAGCCCGAGCTAGCTCTCGCGAAACCTTGTTTTAGCCCACCTCCTCCGGACCATCAGCCCGCGAGCAAGACTGTCAGTAGAGGCGAATGCAACTCCCCTTCCCCCCCTCTCTCTTGCTGTCTCGACCCGAAGTCATCCCGAGAAGAGGAGATCTGGACAGCCGCGACACCCGCGCGCCATTCCCCCCCCCCCCCCCCTCATGATTCGGCAGACGGCAGATCTGTTCTGGGCTGGCCGCCGCTCTTTTGCCACCCGGAGCAAGCCCTGGGGCCACAAGACCAATATTGACTTGGGCGCCATCCCAACCACAACCACCACACCAGTTTCTGGTGGACCATAATCCCGCACCGCACCGCTGCAGTCTGGCTGGGTCATCCCACCCGGGGCTCACTAAACGCTGGGCCGGACACTTCGCCCCCATCCCGTCGAGGTCTCGGAGGAAACGGCACCCTGCTCTGCCTCCCGGGAGGCAACAAACAACCCCCTTTCCCCCTCTCACAAGACCACCCCCGAAATCCAGACAGCAAGCATATGTCCCGGACCAACCAGAGCTTCGATGGATGGAGGGAAGGCATCAATGTCTTGTCTCGGCGCAACATTCTCGAAGCTCCATCGCCACACAACATGGAAGACATTGCTGGGATGGGCTGGTCAACACCAGTGAGTGAGTGAAACTGTCACACACCGCTTGTCCAGGCAGAAAGGGGCCATCTAGATCTCCGATGAGACTTCCTTGGACAACATGGCCCAAGTGCGAGCCCAAGTGGTGAGACCGCACAAACACGGCAGCATCCGGCGGTACACAGACACACCCCTGTTGCCGTTTTCCAGCATCAAGGCCGTTGACTCCTGGGAAAGGAATCCCGAGCCATCACTTCGCGTCGTGAATGTGATGAGATCCAATATCGAGCAGCTTGTAGCATCAATTGGCCGCATCCGTCCCAACTCGCCGCTACAGCAAGCGCAAAGCAAAGCCCAGCTCCCCGCAATTGCCTCCTCGCCCGCCACCAAGACACAAATCTGATGAGTCTCTTTTGGGACCGGCAAGTGAGACTCTACTAGCGCAACCTCTGAGCCAGAATCAAGCCACTGGAGCTGCGAGAACCCATTGGTTCTCACAAGACCCTTCATCCCTGAATGCTGTGGCCAGCCGCCACACCAAGGACAAGACACTTTGTCTCGCCAGATCGTGAGACAGAGGACAAGACAGACATGGTGGTCTCCCAACGGGACCGAAGACACTTGCAGTGGAACGGTCTGGCATCCTGTGTCCCCTCCCTGTGAAAGCTCCGATGCTCCGAGATCAAGTGCCGTTCTATGTCAACAACCCCGTATGCATGGCCTCTCGGCTCTGCAAGCGTCATCAGGAACTTTGGCCGAGTTCAATGCCATTGAAGGCATGCCGAGCCCTCGCTCGAGATCGAGATGCAGCTTGTCAATCATCCACGAATCTCAACTCGACGGTGTTATTGGCGTAGCATCCAGACTCTCAACATGTGCCCATTTTCGGACATAACTCTCTTGCCAGACATGGCGGTCAAGAGATGTTGGTGCGAGATGCTGGCGCCGCTGTGATGAGCTCCCCTCGCCGCTGCCGTCAACGTGACACCACAGGGCATCGCGGTGCATCTCGACGGTTTTCCTGCCGTCCACTCAGCAAGGAACCAGATCGGCGTTCGCTCTGGCAGGCGCCACCGAACGAGGTCTCCTGGCAAGGACTCCTGAGTGGTGAGCTGAGAACGGCCGAGTGATGGCATAGCATAGCATCACTAGCTTCAGCACTTGCTAGCGCGTGCCATCGAACCAGTCGGTGGATGCCGAGCAGCCGTGCCAGGGCACACCACTCACTGCCGGAGCTTCTCCTCACAGCGTTAGGAGGCACCAGCAGATCGAAGATGAGGGATCTCTCGCCCGGCTAAGCAGTGCTTCGCCGCTTGACGCCATGCCACCAGTCACCAGCCACTAGGCTCGAAGCACCTCTCACCCAACCCACTGGGAGCTGTTGCGTTGCTTCACCGCAGTTCCCACATGCTCTCCCTCGAGCCAACCACGGTGTTCAGCCGCCCCTTGGACGCGTCGCCGTCTCCTTCACCGCCATGTGAGCCTGTCTCTGGGCGCCTCCCCACATGCCAATCAGACCCCAAGGAAAGCTCATGCCCCGCGACCGGGCACAGGAGGCCGCTGATGCAGGTCAGCCTTCCCAGCCGTCTAGACCCTCAGACGATGGGACTCTGGTTCGATCATCCGCAGCCTACCACTCTCGAGCCACTGCACCTTGTAGAGTCCTGATTCGCCCGCGTGCCTGATTACTGTCAGTTATCTGCGAGGGATAAGTGCACTGAGTGCCGCCAGTGCCAAAGAAAAAGTGGGAACGCACAGGAGAGAGCAAAGTGCTGACTGGCCAGTGTTGCATGCGCTTGCGATGGAACTGGCAAAGTGTGGCAGCCCAAGGGGAGCAGAAGTGGAACTAACCCATGCAAGCACTTAAACTTACCAGTAACTTGCAGTAGTTGTTGTTTTGGTCGTCATGGCACATTCCATGGCCTTCGATTCGCTCCCGTGGATGCGGCGTGACAGGCGAACGACGGGTCTGCGGCCCTCCCCTCCCTCGCGAGGCCAAGACAGGCTCAGAAGGAGCGACAAGACAGAAGGCGGTGCTCTTGGTGCCCTCGGGTGACTTGTGCTCTCCTCGGCGTTAGCGTTGGCGAGGCTGCATTGCATTTGTTTCGACGCCCCAGGGATCAGCGGGAGGATCTCAAAGGGAACCGAAAGCTGAGCGGAAGCGTCATGATGCCTCCCAGGCTAGACACATGTCTTGGCCCACGACATTTGGAGGGGCATCCCCACGTCCGTCGAAATGCTCATCGACGATCCTCGTCGCACGTCTCTGCCTCTTTTCGGTCGCAACGACGGCGCGATCATCAGTAATTGTCGCACATGGCCGTTGTTCACCGAACGCAGTCGACGGTAATGGGCTGCCTCGCGGCTTGACGCCCGAGTGAGAAGAGAGCACGTTGGGCTGCAGAGGCAAGTCAGCTGGAAGAGGGGCAGCACAGCGGGGCAGCGGGGCAGCGTGTCCCGTTGCTGGCGCACGGGCCATTCAAGACATCTCGAAGTTCCTTCCATCTCCCTTCCACCAAACGCGCAACAACACCACCTGTGTTGAAGACATCAACCTGGAACCTCACAAACCGTCCATCCCATCTGCTTCAATCCCGCCTGCACTCCCCCGTAGCGTACCAAACACCTTCACCACCTCCTCACCCGCCGGCAACACGGGAAGCCCATTCCCCTTCCACCTCGCTCCTTCCCTCCACCCAACCACCGCCCTCCCCACCTGCAGCCCCATCCCCATCCGTCACCTCCCACCGCCCGCCCTGCATCCCCCTTTCTCCCGTCTCATTCGCCCAAGCCCAACCGCATCACTGCACGGCAGCCAAAAAGTAAGGCGGAGTGGCTTGCCATGCATGAACCAATCACCACCCCGCACCTGCGATAGCAATCTGGGCATCTCTGCTCTGTATGTGTCTGGATCGGTTCGGTAATCCCATCCATCAGTGGTACGATACGAGGTTGATGAGGGAGGCGACAGTGTGTAACCACCACCACACCAGGGCAAAGATATGCCGAGCCGTGCCCATGCAATGATACGTCCGCCCAGTTAGTTAGTACTGCCGCAGTTGCTGCGCGACATTCCCTGCTTGGTCGCTTGATACCTTGCTTGCTCAGCAACCTTGCGCAGTATGGAAGCCCATGGTAGCCCCCGTCCTGGAACTGGGACATGCCCAACGGAGGCTAGACAGATACATCGCGGGCGAGATGGCGAAAGCTAGCAGCATAGCGGGTGGATCACGTGCAGTACATGACCAGCTTGTCATGGCATCACCGCACCGAAGCTTATCCGAGTCCCCTGGCCCATCTGATGAATGATGCAAACACCTCACGCAATCAGAGCAAGCAAGCAGTCAGATACACGCAGTGTGTGTGTTCTCAACATCTCTCATTGTCTCGCACCTGAGGAGGTCAGGCCGCTCTATCGCGAACCCATCCCAGAAGCCTCCTCGCCTCCCGGATCTGCTCAACCATCAGAGATGGGAGCGTCCTAGCGGAGGATGGGAATAATAAAAACGTATTTGATGGTCCGCAGACCATGCCATCCGCGGGTTATTGACCCTGGGTAGTGTCTAAAATATTCTCGTATCCCATCCATCATATTTTCATCCCAAAAGCCACTCGCAACCAACACTCCCCCCCAAAAAAGACACAAGAATAGAATGAGGCAGACCGCTGGTATCCCTTTTGTCTTGACCTTTGTCGTTGCGGCCGTCGACGTCGTAGAGTAATTGTGTTGTCGAAGAGTAGAGGGTATTAAAGTCGAGTAAAGCGGGATGATAATAATCATCAAAAAACCACAGCGAGTCTCCGGCTCTTGCCCTGGGTGCCTTGAGTTGCTCGAACGCCTCATCTTGTATCCTTTGCGCCGAAACCGATGCGTCCCATCAAATAACGATGCGGGAAAAAAAATATGTTCAAAAAAAA